ACCTTGGCCCCTGCTACACTTGAGGTCTTCCTTCATCTTTAAGGGAAGGGATGAGTTTTCATCTCATTTGACCTCCTCATGCCACATAACCGGCAATCAAAGGAAGAGTTATCATCCTGGATGCATGGGGAGCTGAGGGGCTACACATCAGGGCAAGGCAGGCTAGTTTGGGATCCAGGAGACACTCTAAGGACCCTCCAACAGTCAACATTCTGTCCTCTGTGTCTGTGAGTTCTGCATCAATAATTCCAACTAACTGAGGAGACAGATGATAAGTAGAAAGATAGGTGAATGAACAGATGATAGATGACTGATTAATTAACAGATGATAGGTATATAGATGGTAGTCTGTAGATACATAGAGTAGATGGGTATCAGAGATAGATAGATCGATAGATAGATAGATAGATAGATAGATAGATAGATGACAAGTAGCTAGATAATTGCATTTATACTAGCCATGGACAGGCTTTTCTCTCATTATCACTCCACAAACAATATGGTATAACAGCTATTTCATATAGAATTTACATTGTATTTGGGGGTTATAAGGTAGAGGTGATTTAAAGCATGCAGGAGGATGTGTGTGAGTTGTACTACCCTCTTTTATACTGAAAGCTGAATTTCCACAGTTTTCGTCTCTATAGTGGGCCCTGCAGTCAACCCACCATAGTTATGTTACTTTCACGGCCAACAATAAAAGTTAGTGGAAAGCTATGACACCCAAACCATACGGGATCACTAAGGATTCAGACCCTTCAGAGATAATTTAGGTCACTTTACCATGTAGAGAACCCTAACCAGGGGTTGGAGAGGAAGGCTCAGTGTTTAAGAGTGCTGACTACCCTTGCAGAGGGCCTAGTCCTTCAGCAACCACAGAATGGCTCAGAACCATCTGTAACTCCAGTTCCAGAGGAGCCAACACCCTCCTCTTGCCTCTGTGGGCTCCAGGAATGCATGTGGTACATAGGTGCACACAGAGGCAAAATAACCATACACAGGAAATAAAAATAAATCTTAAAAAATCCATTAGACCCTAACCAATGGAGGGATTGGCAGAGGACAAAAAAGGGGGGGTGGGTAAAGATTAATAAATTATACACCAGCCATGGCACATTTTGCATAAAGAAACATGTCTTTATGAAAGACCAGTTACCACTCAGGGGGAAAAAAAGTCTATAGTAGCTATGGATGTTTTCTTCTTTGCTTGGGATATTGTGGCATTAATATTTTTTGGCTTTTGTTTTTCAATAGTATTAATTTTTTCCTGCATGCCCCCCCCACCAATTTCGTGAACTAAAATTCCCTTTAAAAGCCACATCTGTGTTGAAGATTGCAAACTGACTGGAACCCTGATTGTGGAGTTTGGAATCCTGCCGATCAAGAGCCACAATTATCTCGTACTATCTTTAGTCCCCTTAATCTAATCGCCATTTATCACTGTTGCATTTGGAATGTAAATGCCCTGCACTGGCTTGTACCTTTCAATACTTGGTCCAGAGGGTGGCGCTGTTTGGGGGAGTTGTGGAGCCCTTTGGACATGAAACCTAGCTGGCAGATACACATGGCCACAGAGCCAGAGCTTGAGAGTTATACTCAGCTTCCAGCCTGGGGCCTTTGGTTACTGCTCTGACAAGATATAAAAAGCCATGTGCTTGCAAAGCCATGAACTCAGCCAAGCCCCAACAGAATAGACTACACTGTGTGAAACCATGAGCCATTCCTCTCTTTTTCCCCTTCTTTTAAATTGTTCTGACAACTGCAGTTAAAAGGATGAGAAAAATAACTGATAGAGTTGCCGCCCTCTGGGCTGGGGAGTAGTTCCATCAAGCATACATGGAGCCTTAGGTTTGGTCACTAGTACCTTACAAACTGACTGTAGTGGTGCATCCTGGGAGGTGGTGGTACAAGGATCAGAAAAATCAAGGTCATCCTTAGCTATGAGTTTGAAACAAGCCTGGGATTCATGAAACCTTGGGAACAGAAGTGGGGTGGGGGAAAGGAGGGGAACAGAGAGGGAGAAAGAGAGGCAAGGGAGAATGGAGAGGGAGATTGAGAGAGGAAGAAGGAGAAAGAAAAAAAAAAGTTGTGGTTGTTAGTTAAAAATTTTGGAAACTGTCATCTCCAAGCTCTTAGTTTCCACCAGTTCAAAAGTTAGGAATGCCATCAGATCAAATCTGAAACCTCTGCAAAGATGTCCCTGATCTGCTGGTTCCCATCCACCTGCTGTCCCTCTCGGTGTTTCTGGTAAACGCATTGATTTATGTCTGTCTTTTGGTCTATGACTATAAAAGTTCATGTAACCGCTTCCACAATAAAGATGTCACTCAGGGCAACCTGAATTTGTATCCCTGAGCCATGGTCACTCATACTTGGCTCAGAAGAAGCCCTTTTTCCCTTTGGAGCAAGAGTGGTCCTTTTGTGGACAGTCTCCTGAAAGACAGTAGCGTGAGGTCAGTGTTTGGTTGTATACAGGGTTGCCACTGAATCAGAATAGCTAACACCATCCCAATAAGGATTGGCTGGCTAGTTCCTGGAGATGGATGCTTTGTTAGACTGAGGCTTGGGATCTGGAGAGATGGCTCAGTCGTTAAAGAGTTTGCACTGCTCTTCCGAAGGATCAGACAGAGTTCAGCACCAGCTCCGGGGGATGGGGGGTCTGGAGTTTCTACCCTCCAAGGGGCACTTTCAAGCACATACCCACACAGACACACACACATACACATAACTAAAAATAATACAAATAAAGTAGTTTTTAAAAGACTGTGTTTTCCCCCTTTGCAGGGATAGAGAAGGATCTTGTTTGTATGAAGCATAGCTTTGACTTATTTGGTGGGACACAGTCATACGGCTGTCTGATATGTGTGGGTTGCTGTGTATAGTTATTGACTATTCAGGGAGTCTGCAGTCATCATTGGATCCCAAGAGCTTCTGGAATATCTTTAACAAAAAGGAATAGCAGGGAAAGATCAGAAAGTAGATGTGGAGACCACTTGCCTGTGAGGAAGACTGAGCAGAGGGGTTAGCATGTGTTCAAGCACCTAGATTTACCTGTCTATGAAGTCAAATCTATTCCCCTAGACGCTTTAGTCATCTGGGACAATGTGTTTTCTTTTTGCTTGAGCCACATGGAGTTGGGCTTTTAATGGTTTACAATGATTCCAAATCTTGTCTTCACCATCAAATCAGGAGCCTCAGCCCTCAGCCACCAAGCACAACCAGGACCAATCACTTCCTACTGAAAACTTTAATGAAACCAATAAGTTAATAAGTTAACAAAGTGAGGTACTTGCATATCTGAGAACCGGGTTGGTGGGGGAACCTCGATCGTGGAAGGAGGGAGGGCTTCTTCCCATGTCTCCTTTGGTCGCAGGGTAATCTTTTTCTCCAGCCCTTCTCCACAGCTCTGCCTCTGAGGGGGTGGAGTGGCTCTCTGGGGACAGTGCAATGCAAGTGAGGCGAGCCAGGATGGGCTCCATCCAGAGCACGATGGTACATGCAGATGGTAGGGCAGAGATTGGGCACCATAGGGTTGCACAAGGTTCAACCCAAGCCCTGGCACTGGTACATGCAAGTCCCAGTATGAGATGCAGACAGTTCGGCCTCAGCCCCTTCCTTGCTCCCAAGCACCTCCCCCAGAGTGTTATCATTGGTCCACCACCTCTCACTCTCTTGCCACCGGCACTGGCTTTGCAGAAGAGGAACAAAAGGTGGGGATCCAAAGCTGGTGCTGGGGTCTGCAGTGTTTGGGCGTTTGTGCCAATACGCAGTGCTGCCAATTGGAGTGAGAAAGTGGGGCAGAGGCCAGTGCAGGTGAGAGCCAGTTGCAGTTGGGATAGTACTGGATAGTGTGTTCTCTCTGGGACTAGGAGGAGGGTATGCCGGGGTTCTTTCCAGAAGTGTGAAAGATCTGGAGGCCTAGGCCTGAGTTATGCTGAGGGGACACCAACATAGTCCTCAGGGCAGCTGGAGGACTCCTGAATTCCTGAGGGGAACAAGTAAAACACTGAGGCTGGGCCTGGGGACACCTATGGATGCTCCGATGCTCCCTCTCCTGCCCAGGAGACTGAGTGGCTTTGTGCTCACGCCTCCAAATGTGTATGGTCATGTGTGTCACTGTGTTGGGTATTTTGCTGGAGAAATAAAAGGGCCATGCTGTGTCCCTGGTGGTGGGCCACTGTCTGGTTGGTTTGGAAAAAATACAAGAACTTGTGCTGACTGTCAAAGCTATCTGGAGGACCAGTAGGAATGGACATCCAGCAGTAAGAGGGAGCCCCTGGGGTGACACCTGCAAAGAGGCAGAAAGGCCCAGGTACTGTCCTTGTGAGAGGACAGAGAGATTTAGGTCCCATGCTGGGTGGGGATAGATGATAAGCTAAAGAATGGAGGTTGGGTATGGCCAAGCAGCCTGAGACCAGCTACTGCTGGTGCCCATCTCCCAGTGGGAGACGGGCAGAGGAACCCCATGGGGGTCCCCAAAGTTGCATATTTAACATAGTTTGCATATATGGTGCCCATCTACCTTATGGCAGAGTCCTGTGCTTTGTGGGCACCTGTGGGGGCACCGTGGGCCCATCCCCGAGTGGGGCAGGGCTTGGCAGGAGGGCTTCCCTGCTCTGCCTAGAAGGGTGGGCCTGGAGACCTCACCTTGCATAGCTAGAAGCTGGTTCAGGGACCAGGGCCCCAGCTCTCTGTTCCCATTCCCGGGACAGAGCCCCTGCCAGGAGGGCCATATTGAGCCTTGATGGAGCTGGCAGGGTCATGGAGTGTCCAGAGGCCTCTGGTCAGCCACTACAGCGGTCCACCACGTGGCCTGGCATTTCGTGCTCCTGGGGCGCTGGTACCTGGCTGGCATCGGGTATCTCGCCCACCCAGACAGCTCAATACTGTGTATGGCCTCTCTCCCTGCCAGGGAGCGAGTTCAAGTAAGAGAGGAGTTCAGAGGCCTCGGGGTGAGTCCGAGGGGCAGACCGAAGGCTGCCCAGCCCCTGAGAAGCCCTTCAGTCCATGTTGGTGCTGACTGAGCGAGAGATGCTGAGCGTCTGTGCCGAGACGGAGATGTCCTCGTGGTCTACAGGGCTATGGTAGTCCGAGGTGATGTCAGGGTCAAAGAGCGGTACTTGCACGGTACCCAGGCTGGCCGAGGTGCCAGAGCGTAGGCAGCGCGAGTAGAAGCCCAGCAGCAGATCCAGCTTGTGCTCAATGGACTGCACCTGTGGGGCGGGGAGAGGCGAGGCTGAAGGTGGTGTTTGACCCAAGGGCGGAGCACCGCTGGGGTAGGAATTGGCCTGGACCCAGCAGGGACGGAGCTCTGGGGGCGGGGCTTGGAAACCGTAAGCATACTAGGTAGGAGGCATAGTTAGGACCGGCTTACCCCGTGGGATCCTTTAAGGAATGAGAGTGAGTGGGCTTTCTTGGAGTCGGACTTGTTTGTGGGATGGAGCTTGGCCGAGCAGAACTCAGGGCCTCCAGGGACCAAGACTCTGTGCTACAACAGAGCTGTACTCTTGACAGCACTTCAGCCAGCGGGTGGGAGTCCTTCCTACACTCACCTGCTTCTCCACCTTGACGACGCGCCCCAGCATGCTGATTTCATCCACTGGCTCCGTGTCCGAAGGCCCCTTTTCGCCCTTCTCCCTAGATTTGCGGTCCCCAGGCCCTCGACCCACAATTTGGTCCACCCTGTGGAGAAAAAGAAACTATCAAAGAAACTGAGTCACACGGCGCAGCCCTTCCACAAGAACCCTTGGTTGACAGTTGACAGGAAAGACAGACTTTGGTGGGAAGAAGCCACTTCCCTGCCCAAGGGAGGCTGAGCCTGGGAGACAGCAGCCTGGAGAGTTCTCCAAATAACAAGCAGGGCCTCCAAGGTGAGAAAGGACGGGCTGGGAAAGGGAATGTTGGAAGGTGGACAAGGCCAGAGCCGACCCCACCCTATGCAGGACTCTTTCACAGGGAAGGCCTTGCTAGTGTCATGTTCACCCTCTGCTGGCAGCCCTGCTTCCTTTCCTTCTGAAGCCCTCCTCCGAGTGAACTCCATGTTGCTAAATGCAGTGATCAGCTCAGTTCTCATTTACATAACCTAACAGCAGAAGAGGTCACATCTGATGACTTTCTTCCCACAATACTTGTTCTTTTTTTCCCCCCTTGTAGACAGGGTCTCTTGTAACCCAGGGGGCTTTGACCTCTCTAAATAGCCTACGCTGAACCACTGATCCCCCTGCCTCTAGCATCCCTCCCACACCCCTAGTACTGTGGTTGTTGTTGAGACTGGGCCTCCCTATGTTGCCTGGCTGACTTGGAACTCTCCATGTAGACCAGGCTGGCCTCAGACTTACAGAGATACATTTGCTTCTGCCTCTCCAGTGCTGGGATTAAAGGCATGCACCACCACACCTCACCTTGACTTATTTTTTTTACTTACTGAATGAACATACAGTGGGAAAGTAGGGCACATGAGAAAGGAAAGCTCTAGGCAATTTGGGACTTGATATAAAAGTTCTTCCTTAATCCTGGACCTAGGGGACATGTAGGATTCTAGAGGCAAGAATCAAAAAGGTAACTTCACATTGCTACTTGGGGAAAGTCAGTGGTTATTGTAGGTCAGTTACCTCAGCACCTGGAGACAGGCATCATCCTAAGGAAACTGTCAAGGCCCGAATATGGACTGGACTCATCCAGAGAACTATAACTGAGGTTGTTTTGTTTTTCAGTTTCCAAGCAGCCTGTAAACTGGGATCTTTTGAAGCAGAATCTCATAGCCCAGGCTAGCCTAGAACTCATGGTCTTCCGGCCTGTGTCTCCCTGGTGCTGAGATTACAGATGTAGGACAGTAAGCCTCCTAGAGGACCTTGCCCACCTGGGCAGTGCCCCAACAGAGCATGAATGGCTTGATAAGGTCCTTAGCCTTCTCACCTGGGCCAGGACCCACCCTCGACTCCCTACCCCTCGCTTCTCACAGCCTGCATACCCACCGAGCTTGGAGGCTCTTGATCCGCCCCAGCATGTCCAGATGCCCTGCGGAGTATTGCTCGATAACGTCCTTCACATCATACGGCCGCAGTGTCTCCTTGAATTTCCTTTTGGCTACCAAGAACTTCAGAATCCTGTTAAAGGAAGGGATCTTTGGCAAATGCTCTTGTTCCATTCCAAACACTCTCTGATATGTTCCCTAGCCTCCTTACCCTCCAGGCTCCCCTTTGCCCTGCAGGCCCATAGTCTGGCTTGGTGTTTTCTCCTATGCCTGCCTTTACAGCTGCATTACCAAGGAGGCAGGGAATGGACCCGTTCATTGACTCTCAAGCCCAGTGGGGCATGGAGCTTCTAGAATATCAACTGCTTCTGCTGACTTAGGGGAAAAAATGTTATATTCACTCTACACATACTTGGCAATTGTGTGCAGGATCTTGGACACCCAAAGAGAGTTAGACCCAATCCCTGGCTACAGAGAGCCCATGTCTAGCATGGGAGGCTGGGAGGATGTGTGCAGTGGAGGGGAGACAAGAGCTAGGTTCAAAGGATAGAAAAGGAGAGCTCGGAGCCATGAGAAGGGCAGAGCCTTAAGTGGTATTTTCCAGCCAGGGGCAAGAAGAAAGGAGCTTCCCAGAAACAGGCTCTGAGAGGCAGGAGTAGGAGCATGGCTGAAAGGGGCCAACCTCTGGGGTGGTGGGCAGTGTGAGAAGACAGGACTAGCTGTGACTAAGGGCTGGGCTGGGGACTACATTGAGAAGGCACAGGGCTGGGGAGGGGCCACCACTGGGCTTCAACATGTTTACTCTGCCAGCTTCTGGAGAGAGTGTGTTGGGATGCTCTGTGGTCTAGGCACAGATACCAGTTCTCAGGATGGGTCTGAGCTGGGAACAGACAGTGGGGTGGAGAAAGGAGACAGATTTGAGCAACAGAGGCCAGACAAGAGATTTCCAAGTCCAAATCCAAGTTGACTCCTGTGACTGGAGACAGGCAGGGTAGGCAGTGGTATCAACTGCCTGATTTGGGAAAGTGGGCAGAAGAGCAGTTTGGAGGCATTCTCTCTCTCTCTCTCTCTCTCTCTCTCTCTCTCTCTCTCTCTTTCTCTCTCTCTGTGTGTGTGTGTGTGTGTGTGTGTTGGGGGAGGCTGTGAGGGTGCCAAGGAGAGCTAGCTTGAACCTCACAGCTCAGACACTGAGATACTATATCCAAGATGGTGGTCACAGAAAGGGAGAGACAGGATGTATGGAAAGAGGTGAGGAAAGGCCCGACTCTGGGGGCCTGTGGGCGGGCAGGGAGGAACAGAGGACCCAGCTGGCCGATCACAAAAGGAATACAAGAGGAGGTTGTGGGCAGGTGCACAAGCCAGGGAACAGAGTAAGGGAGCTGAGCTTCAGTGGCCTCCAGAGCCCAGCTGCAGGCTAGAAACAGAGACCCAGCCAGGACTCTTGGCCAGGACACTAAGGCCAGATCCACACTGGGCATGGCTACAGGTTACAGGAGACCGGTCTGCTTAATTATCACAGCAGCCAACATATCACCGCTTTCTAACTGTTTGACCAAGACCTACATAAAAAGCATACCAACCCTGTGCAAACTAGTGCGCATGCACACACAGATTGAAATAACAAATTTCATAAGTATAATCACCCTGAGTATGAGACAGTCAGTCTCATATTTTTTCTTTTTATTTGGTTTTTAAAGCAGGAGCTCCTGTAGCTGAAGATAGCCTCAAACTGTCGATGTAGCCAAGGATGACCTTGAATTCCTAATCCTCCTGCTTCTACCTCCCAAGTGTTAGGAACATAGAACTCCCACTATGCCCAGCTTCAATTTTTTTTTTTTTTTTTAAATGCTGACCATGACACACGGCTAGTTTCACTGAGTTCTCAACCTGTGGTCTTGAGGATGACCTAGGAGAAATTGAGAGGCCAAGACACCCAGGGAGAAAGAGTTTGTGAAATAGAGACAAAAGAAACTTGGGACTGAGACATGGGAAGAAAAACACGTGTAGCGTTGGCAGAGGCTATCAGGCGTCTCTGGTACTGCTCTGGAGAGAAAAAGAAAGAGGCAGCCACACAGTGTGAGAAGGGGGAAGGGGAAAGAGAAGCAGAGTGGCTGAGATGGGATGATAGGGAGGACATGGTATGTGTAAGGGCAGAGACTCTGATGGGCAGCTGTGCCACTGGTCACCGGAGCCAGGCCCTCTGGACGTGTTATGAGTTGTATAGGAGCAAACGGTGCTGGAAGCCATATGCTCCCTGCCCACACCTCCTGCACTCCAAGCAGGTAGCAGCTGGCACCCTGGGAGCTACGCCAGGACTGGCCATGAGGACAGGCCCAGATGGGGAGCAGTGATGGGTGGCAGGTGGGAGAGCTGCTCACCTTGGGCTTCAGCCTCACCTGACAGAACGAATGACTGTCTTCACAGCAGGCATGACATCATCCACCGTGAGCTCACACTGGTAGCTCTTCTCCTCAGCTACTTCCTCCGAGGGGCCCTCTGGAAAGACAGGAATGGCATGTGAGGGCCAAGGGGTGGAGAAGAAAGCGTTCCTAGTCCCCATCTCCATTAGCAGTACTAATAATAGTACAGAAATGTAGAAAGGGCCCAGGACCTTCCTGAGGTTCAAAGCAGACCAGGCTCCTGCCTCTCACGGCCCTGTATTCGTGTCCTTTTGCCTCTTCCAGGGCTGGGCAGGACAGACATCTGCCTGGTGACAGGTGAGCGACAACTGCTTTAGAGGACATATGGTCTAGCCTGGGACAACAAGTATGTACACAGCTTTGGAGGACATGCTGTGTGTTACTCCTTGCAGGGCAGGAAGCCCCAGGGAAAAGGCATTTATTTGATGCTCTTCATAGAGTCTTGTGTGGTCTTTTCTTCCAGTTGAGAGCGAGGGGTGGTTGGAAGGGAGGGAACTCCAGCTCGAGCCCCTGCCCAGATCTGCTACAAGGAAGGCCCTTAAAGCAAGGAAGGGGAAACAGCTTCTCAGAGGCTGGTACCCTGTGCTTCAAGAGGGTATACTTTCCTCACCACACAGGAGGAAGGAGATTCCAGGCACCTTCATGCACAGGCTTTCATGGGTCAGAATCTCCCAAAGAACCACTGGTTTATGTGTGCAGTAACTTTCTAAGAAAAGGCTGAGTCCTCAGTCCTCAGCATCTTGGCACAGCATAGGCAGAGGCTTTGTTCCCCTCCAAGAACAACAGGAGCATCCTGCCCTCATCTTCCATAGCACCCTGTCCTCATCTTCCATAGCATCCTGCCCTCATCTTCCATAGCATCCTTTCCTCATCTGCCAATGGATACATGTATCCTTTCTTTCTCTACCAAGAGCCTACAAGCACTTTCAGCAGGGGCAAGGGCTTTGTCAGGATACCCCATACAGCCCTCCCATTTTCCAGAAGAGGACACAAAGCAACCTAAGTCCCACTGAAGAGCTAAAATGCAAAGGGACCATCTTCCTCTAACAGTGGAGAAATGGCCAGTGACAGACCCCCAGCCACAGTGGCAGCAGGCCAGGCTGGTGCAGATGACAGCAGAGAGCACTGCTGGCCAGCCTTGCTTCAGGATAAGAGCTCTCCCACTCATGCGCCGAGAGTCTCAGTTTCCATGTCTACAGAGTGGAGGCAGAACAGGGTAGCTAGGAGAAGTGATGGAGACTTTCCAGTGGGCAGCGACACACAGGCCTATGACTCCTTCCAAAGTGCCTTGAGAGCTGGCTGCTGCTGGGCACTTACTATGAATTCCACTCTCCTGTTCGACTTTCGAGGATCACCTCACTTCCTCCTCAGATCTTTCTTTGGAATACATACTATTATTGCCTCCATTTTACAGATGAGGAAAGCAGGACCCAGAGTAATGTGGTCACTTATCTAAAATAAATGACGAGGACCAGTGAGATGGCTCAGTGGATACTAGTGCTTATCGTGCAGGCTGGTGACCAAATGTGATCATCCCCAGGACCTATGTGGGAGGGAGCCAACTTCCATAGGTTGTCCTCTGACTTCCACTTCCACAGACATAGACACATGCACACAATAAGTAAAATATAACTTAATTAAGAAAAATAAGTGGAGCCAGGATGCAACTCTTGGAAGCCTGGTTCCAATCTTGTGCTCTTACCACTGCCAAATGCCTCCTCTAGATTCTCATTTGATTATCTTACAGTCTGGAGACTGGGTTATACCAAAGATGCTATGATGCCCATTTTCTAGAGCAGATGACCTGAGCAAGTCTCCCCGGCCCCTGCCACCTCCAGCAGATGAACTTGACCACTGGGGCTTACCCTCAGCAGAGCTGCGGGGCTTAAGTCTGAGAGAGGCCCGGAAGCGGGTGCGGTCATTGAAGCTCCAGCTCTTCTGCACCTTGCTGGGGCTGGATGCCTCACCCACTTGCTCACTGCTTGGCGAGGTGGGCATTGGCGGAGGTGCCAGGTGCTGCTTGGAGGGTCCTGTCCGCTTCTGGGAGCTGCTCATTCGGATGCGGTCTTTGATGCCCATCCGGCTGCTGGCGGGACGGGGCAGGCCAGGGGAAAAGAGTCAAGTTAGCTGGTGCTGGAGCAGATAGGTGGGGACAAAGCTGACCTAGCTGATCTAGGGGGTGGCTATTGGGTCTGGATTTCCCACCAGTTATTTCCTCCAGTGTGATGAGGGGCCCTGATGCCTACAGGAAGCTAGATAGGTCAATGGGGACACATCCCTTCAGCAGCCCCACCCCCACTCTTCCCCATTCCCCTCTCCCAGACAGATAGGGGTACACAGGAGACAGATGTCAGGGTGAAAGCAGTGAGAGAAACCGGAAGGAAGTGAGAGACAGGAGGGCAGAAGATCCAGGACCAGCCCCGGTGGGTGGGTGAAGGGTAGAGGTAACAACCCCTGTGGGCACAGACACACTGTAGGAGGAGCTCACCTGGTCAGGCACACAGAGCAAGGCTCTGGGCTCATTGTGCACAGGGCTTGGCTTTGTGGACGTGAGAAAGCGTGTGTCCATGTGTACCTGGGCACACAGCCACCCATGTGTATACAGAGTGTCTACACGTGTGTCCATTTACACATGCCCCTTCCCTCACTGCTGGAGCTGTCTTATCCCACACTGGTCAGGTCATGGCTTTAAGACCTGGCACAGCTGCATAAATAGAACAGGGCAAACTTAGGTCTCTATCCCAGGTTTCCATATGTTGTTAGCGGGGAGGAGGTGGGGTAGGAAGGGTGGCTGTGTGATAGGATGGCCTGCCGAGGGTCTCAATGTCCAGGATACCCCAGGTGCTGGTCCCTTCAGTGAGGATTTGTGTGTAATAACCTGTTCTCCAGTGGTTTCCCCTGTCTGAGTTCTGCTCTCCAAGACTGCTATCCCTAACACGTGTGTGTATAAGGGTGTTTGCTGTCACTTCCTTTCCTGCGCCCAACTCCCCATCACTTCCCGAAACCTTGGAGGACAAAGAGAAGGAGGCCTCCATTTCCCTCAGACAGGCCCCAGTTTACCAGTACCTGGTAGAGTAACTCTGTGTCCAAGAGGTTCAAGACCCATGCTATGCTGTTGGTAAGACCTCAGCAGACATCCTCCACCCCACAGCCTGCAGCATTATCACCATTTCCCCTGCTGGAGAACCCTTGCTGACAGGTCTGGAGGTCCCCACTCCAAGTGACTAGAGCCTTAGTGCAGGAAAACACCAGCCAGGTTCAGAGGAGGTTTGAGAAGGGGCAGAAATGAAAAGGGGGTCCTAGCACCTGCCTGGGGGCCTTCAGATCAAGGGCTGAGAGCATGACAGAATCTGGTTTCCATATTAGGTGGGAGGCGGGGGTGGAGGGGATGACTAGGGTATGGAACAGAGAGCAGAGCCAGGGTGGTGAGGTAGGGGAGTGCACCAAACCAGGGACACCTTGGGAAAGGTGGCCCAGATGTGGGGGCAGCCAGAGGGTGAGTCCCTGCCTTGGGGGAGAGGTTATGGATCACAAGTTAGGAGCCTGGGGCTATTAGAAGTAATCCATCACGTTCTTCACATTCCTGGGATCTCTTTGACACACACCAAAGATTCCAAGAGAAGTTTGAGTGTGGCTTCCCCAAACTTGCCTCTGCAGAACCATTCATGCTGGCAAGCACCCACACCCACCCAGGCCATGCAAGACCACCCTGTCCTCTACTCCTCCAATGGGGAGAGAAGGGGAGGAGACTGGCGAAGTCTTTGCACTCTGGTCCAAGGACTGGAACTCCAGATCGCTCCTTGACATTCTGGGGAAGCATGGCCTCAGTGTTACTGAAGTGTACAACAAAGCTAAGCTTGCAGCTGGCAGGACTCTCAGAGGAAGGGGGCTGAGGCTTGCACTGGGGGCCTTACACAGTCCCTTTCTGGCTCTGATTCTGTGGGGGTGGAGGGAGCTTCTGGCCTGATTTAGGGATTCTGTAACTTTCCAGTCAGTCAAAGGTCTTGGCTCTTCTTGAATGCAAGAAGACACTGTTTTTCCCCCCGAGCAGCCCTGGATTCCAGCTCCTTGGGCAGGGACCAGAAAACGGCTCACATCAGCCTCTCTGGAGCCTGAAAGCTCAAAGAAAATGGAAAGAAACCTGGCACACGGTAGGCACCAAACAGCTTTCTTCCTAGGCTCCTTAGAGCACACGAGGTCCATCTGCAGGTTTCGGTTCGTCTAGGCCTCTAAGCCCCCCTTGTAGGGCTCCTGAATTTGCCATCCCTAGTTTATAGGTGCAGAAAGAGAGAAATGATTTGCCTAAAATAAGAACAACATCAGGCTCCATTTTCTCTGACTTCAGAGACTGCCCTTTTCCCAGGACAAGGGTTTAGGACTATGGCAATAGTCCTCAGCTGGGGGTCATCTTGCCCACCAGAAGGCACCTAACAATGGAGACACTGTGGGTTATCACTCTGTAAAGGGGTTCTCCTGGTACATCATGGGTGGAAGCCAGAAATTCTGTCCAGCATCCCAAGATGCATGCCCTAGGCCCCAGCAAAAGAAGCATTAGATTCAAAATGTCAACAGTTTTGAGGCAGAGAAAAGGGGGGCTGTTGATGTCTGGAAGGATGGGGAGTGGTGGCACTAGTGCATGGGGGTGGAAAGATGTGGGGGGAGGGGGGAGGGGTGTAAACCCTTCATTGGCTGCTCTCCAATGGCCCTGAAAACCCAGCCATAGGGAACTCTGCCACCAGCCCAGGCTGAGAAAGGCAGACACCATTCCTGTACTGCCCCACACAGCCCCTCTCAGCCTTACCACTGGCCTCTCTACCTTTGGTCCTTCCTATTCCTCCAACCCACACTTGCAGAAGGACAGACCTAACCCAGTCTCCTCAGCGTCACCCTCAGGGAGCCCCTATTTCCTACAGACATATCCCAAACTTTTGATTTTTCTTTTTCAAAATTGGGGATAGAACTCAAGAGGTCTGCCACAAAGCTACACCCTTCTCAGCTTCCAAAGTACTTTTCTTCTTTCTTTCTTTTTTTTGTTTTTTGTTTTTTGTTTTTTATTATTTCTCTGTGTAGCTTTGGAGCCTATCCTGGCACTCGCTCTGGAGACCAGGCTGGCCTCGAACTCACAGAGATCCGCCTGCCTCTGCCTCCCGAGTGCTGGGATTAAAGGCGTGCGCCACCAACGCCCGGCCCAAAGTACTTTTCAAAAGCACAGCTTTTAATTAATTAATTAATTAATTTTGAAATGGGATCTCATGTAGCTCAGTCTGGCCTAAAACTTGATATGTAGCCAAGGATAGCCTTGAACTTCTGATCCTCCTGCCTCTACCTCCTGTGTGCTGTGACTATATGCATGCACCCACCACATCCAATTTATGCAGCACGAGGAAGCAAACTCATGCATACTAGGCAAGCACTCTACCAACTGAGCCACACCCCAAAGGCCTTCCTGACAAACACACTACATTGAATGAGGCCAACTTACACTTATAGGAGCCAGTCGGTTTTAGCAGAAGCAAACCCCATTAGCACCTATATTTTACATGGAAGGAAACTGAAGCACAGAAAGCTAGGTGTTGTGCGCAGACACATAGCTAGCAAACTAGAGCTAGATAGTGGCCTGAAATGGCAATTCAAAGGATGGCTGTCTTTCAACAGCCTAGTAGGAGGCCTGGCTCTATCTCCAACCACAAGGCTCCACAAACTTAGGCCACCTGAATGCCAACAGAATGAGGCTCATACAGGACTTTGAGTTCTTTACGATCCTGTCCTGTCCCAGAGTGGCTCCAGTGGCCACTTCCAGATCAGGCCATACTGGGCTGGAGGCTCATCTTGCACAGCTGTGCTTTCTCATTCACCTCTGAGCTTGATCGCTGCTGCTCCCTGGCCTGAGTACCCTCCCCCTACAGCCACCTTTTCCAGGGCTGCTTCTGGGCTAAATGTCTGACCTCAGCTCCGCAGCCCCTCTGCTTCCCTCTTGTGTTGTACTCAATGCACTGAACCACAATTACTCTTTGCAACTCTCCAAGGACCATGTTTTATTCATCACCATTTCCCCAGCGCACAGAAGAGCGCCTGGCATGGGGCAGGTACCACAGATGTAGTTGTGATGCAGCCGAAAGAGCTTGGACTCCGAAACTGGTGATGGAGGTGGCTGGGCACAGCCCCTTCAGGTACCTGTGGGCCTCCCAGGTGAGTGGTGGAGAGCCAGGGAACCAACCCCAAGGCTGGCACAGGTCAGAGTGGGAAGGGCCTTCAGAGAGCCTCTAGTTCAACCTGTCCATTTCACAGAAGAGAAAGAGGCCCAAAGAAGAGAAGTAATTTGGCCAAGATTACACAGGGGTCAGCACCATAGCTAGCATATCCTCAAAGCTCCTGAGAGTGTCCCTTCTGACACTGGGCCCATGCCCTAAACCTTGCAGAGTCATCCCCAGGAAGGCAAGGGGGCTTAGGGCCCCAAGGCAGATTGCAGGCGGCAGGCACATGCACCTTGTCCTTGGCCCATCCTGTCCCCTTCTCCAGCCCCTGAAGTGGGGGAGCATGGAGGAAAGGGGACAGGAGCAGCAGATGAGGGGGTACCTCGGTCTCCAGCTGGCGTGGATCCGAAAGAAACTCCGCTTATTACTAAACATCTGGCTGGAAAGTTGAGAACAAGACACGAACAGAGGTTAGTGACAAAAGAGACAGGTGGATAGAGCATGGAGTGCTTCCAGGATGGGGCTGGCCTCCTGTGGCTGGAGGGAGAGAAGGATCCCCGCTCAAGTCACCCTCCAGTCCCAACCCCAGGATGCAGAGGTGCTCAGGCTCTGCATTCGATCCTTTGGCTGTATGTCGAGCCTGCAGAACTCAGGGTCCCTTCTCCAATGACTGAGTCCGTGGGATGGAGAAGTCCTGTCTTTTGCATTTTGAATACATGCTCCATGGGATGTGGTAGTCAAGAAGCCAGGCTTTTAGAACTCATCCCATAACCCTCAAAGGGAGGCCCTGGCCCTGGGAATGCCATTTCCAGGATGTCCTGCTCCTTGGAGCCCCACTTCCTGAAAACATGCTCAGTGTGGGCCATCCCCAAGCTCCATGAGTCCAAACCAGGGTGGGGGGGTGGGGGGGGAGATAGCAGTGTGATACACATAAGTATGTACACATATGTGTTTGGGGGTATCCTAGCAGGAGTTACACCCCATTCCCTAGGGTCAAAATAGCCAGGATTAAGGACATGGCCATTTGACAGATCGAAAAGCCACAGCTCAATGTCCCCCGCCCAAGGTTCCTGAGTCATTCCACTATCAGACACACAGACAGACACCACAGAGCAGACAGACATGGTGTTAATAATGCCAGGCTTTCAGCATTCCTCTGTTCCCAGGCCTCTAAGGAACAGGGACCCAGAATCATCAAGGGGCACAGGGTCCAACCTCCCACCCACAGCTAGTGTCTTCTGATTCAGGTGAAGAGAGACAGGAATGAACTAGAAGCTCAGAGCCCATATTTGCCCCTGCTCAGGGTTACCAGAACACCAAACATTGTGAACTTCTGGCTATAGGTTGTGGTTTGGCAGGCATGGTGCCTGCAGGCAGTGATGGAGAACCCGCAAGAGGTTACACCATGGGCTTCTCTTAGAGGGACCTCCCAGTGTAGCCTGGCCAATCATTCCTCTCCTTGAAGCTCCAGGCCTGTCTAGCCCTTGACCAGTGAGAACCCTCAGTGAGAGCAGGAAAAGATCCTGCTCTCACTCATTCCCATCAATCCATTCTCCAAGCTCCTTTAGCCCCAAATGGAGAACCCAGAACCACTAACCAGCTTGGTTGGGCACAGCTCTGACCCCTGACCAGTGTCAGTGTTGCCAAGAGCAGAGTTACTTGTTGACTTCCTCCAGGTACACAGCCAAGGTGAGCTTCTCTGAGTGTGAAGGGACTTGCCTCTTCCCTGGCTGCTAATGTTGGACCTGGGCTTAATGATACCCCAGACTCAAGGAACAGATAGATGTTCACCTGTCTAGTTCAAGGATGATGGTGGGATGAGGCAAAGGAAAAAAGATGGGTAAAGCGGGGGAGAGCATGAAGGAACTGAACTGACCCTTGACCTCAAAGCTAAACCCTCACAGAAGCAACCACTTGTTTCCTAAGACATGAGGAGGGGCTTCCATTATCCTAACATGCCTGGGATTCCTCCGGCTAGGAACATGTAGAGGGAGCAAGTGTTGTTCTGTCTTGATTCTTCCTTCAACGAGCAAAAGCTCCAGATCAAGTTTGGAGAGCAGGTTGGGGGCAGCAAGAAAGCCTCAGTAAAGAAGGAGAGAGCCCCAGGGGGACAACCCCCCCCCCCGCTCTAGCAAAGCTGCAGACAAGAGCTGCAGAGATAGAGATAAGCGTGTTAGTTGCTGGCTGGCGGAGTTTTACGCAGGTCCTGTAGTGGTCTTAGTCACAGAGTTCTCTTCCAGCAGGCATCTGCTTCCCTTGAACAGCAGCATGCCGGGGGAGGGGGTCCCTGCCCTCACACCCCAGAACAGAAAAGCACCCTCCATTACCTGAGCCGTAAGCACCTGGGGCCAGCGGCCTCCTCCTCTCTCCAGCTTCCCAGGAGGGATGGGGGTGCAGGGATGGGAGAATGGGGTGGGGGGGACACGTGGAAACAGAGAAAGAAAGAGGACAATGGTATGAACGGTGGAGGTGACAGGAGAGAATGGTGTGGACAGCTCTCCCTCTCAGACCCTGGGAGACCCAGAGAACAGAAAGGTAAGTCCAGTGTGGCCTCTCTAGAGAGGACCCTCAGTCTGTACCTGTCTGGCCATCTGACGACAACTACCAGGCCTCACAACAATGCCAGAGATTTCCCCCAAACAGGTCCATACACCCATGTGGTGGCTGGAGGAGGTCTGAGAGAGGGTGAGACAGAAAATGGAAAAGGAAGAAGAGAAGCAAGAGGAGGTGGTGGCCTCCGGGGGCCCCTACCTTTCCCCAGGGCAGAAGGAGGCGCTGCCCGGCCGGTGGCAGGTGGCAACGGGCGGGTAGCGAGAGGGCGCTCCCCCAGCCACTGGCCCCCCCCCCACCCCCCACCGCGCACCACACACCCCCCCCGACACC